CAGAAGGCCTGCTTCGCCCCAATTATTTCTGACATTTTTGAGAAGTTTGATGGTGGTTTAAAAGATGAACATAAAACCATTAGCAACCAGTAGATGGACACTTTAAAAACTGGCTGAAAAAGGTTATGATTATTTTGGGGTATTTGGCAAGGCTCTAAAGCAGCATGTTTTATCTCAGTGCTATCTTTACAGTGGTCCATGTTTCCAGCACTCGATGGTGAAGGACAGTGTTGAGGTAGGCAGCCAGCCCAACCCTCCAGCATTCACACTGAGGCTGAAGGACAGACTGCTGAGGTAGCCAGCCCACTGCAGCAATGGTGCCAAAGGTAAGGAGGCACGTGGAATGAATGGGCTTAGCAACTCAACTCTGTGCTAACAGATTCCACCACAATTTCTTTCCATAAGGAAAACCCCATCAGCTGCGTGGAGACACTGACAGTAGCAAACTCAAAAGTGAACCCTGTGGCCCAGCCTGGGTGGCAAACTGAGCAGGGCACCCTGTCCTTTGGCAAGGCGAAGCAGTGGCTGCTGGTTCCTCTCCTGAAGCACTGATGAGAATATGGTTTGGCAGCACAGGACACGTGGAGGTGGAGAGATGACTGCTGGGAATGGTTGTGCTCTGTGTGCTGTAATGAGGCTCTCACCGGTTTAATACATCCCATATTGCAGCATGCAATTGTTCTTGTGGATGGACAGGAAGAGGAGCTGGAGATAAGAACGGATGCCCTAAGGGGTGTGAATGCAGAGCTGTGTTGGTGACACAGGACATCAGAAGAGCTACAGGGCTGATACAATCCACCACACATCCCTCAAACACCTACAACAGGAATTCCTCTCTCCCTCAGCAGAGCTCATCCTGTTAGTTTTCTAAATCTATTCATTGTCCTTCTGATTCTCTCTCCCTCCAGTCCTCAAGTATCTCTGCAAACCACTGGCAGGAAAAGGAAATCAAAATACACTGCCAGATGCAGCAGTTATTTGGATTGAGAGCACCATGCATACAAGGCTGCAGCCCAGCAATTTTTCCCTGTCTCTGCTAAAGGGGTAATGGGATAATGGACAGACTGTGACAGGGTGTATCTGCTGGGCATGCAGGTACAGAGATAAATTCACATGAAAGAATAAATCAAAATACTCCCCAAACCGTTTGAAGAACTTATCTTTTCACCTATTACATGACATGGGGTTTGAATATGGGATCAACTCCCATGACAAATCTGAATAGCACCTAACACAAATTAACCTCACCTTCATGGGTGTATCTACACAAACATCAAATAAACACTAATATAATAATTAATTGCACTGGTTATTCAAAAGGAACAGGTATCAACATGCCTAGGTTAGCCCTAGCTAAGGAAAACACCCATTAACAGAGAAATTAGGAAGGGAGAGGCTTTCTTATTAGAGGCTGCCCTGACCTTTTCATATTTCATGCTAATTATCATCCTATGTATGGATGTGCTTCCTTGTAGGATAATGATAACATTTATTGTTAGGGACATGCTCTTAGAAGCCCTCAAAGGAAAAGAAAACTTCATTTGGTCCCCACTTATCAACAATAAACCAGAAACTGTAATATTGCATTACCACAACCACCTTAGAAATGTACCCCGCCTTGCCAGTCTGAACACTGGAGGGTTTAGACACGACCTGAACCAGCAGCCTGGAGATTTGTGAGAGAGAGAAACTGGTAACAAAATCCTTCACTTCTCCCTGGCAGGTATGTGGGGAGCACAGGCTGGAAGCACTGTCCTTCCTTCTTTACACATATAGCAACTTTCTCCAGAAGCAACCTGTGTGCAGTGCAAGCCTCAGCTAAGGACAACTGGATGGTTACACACCTCAAACAAACAAGCAAACTGACCTAACCTGATCTTCTTCCTTCCAAGTGAACTCAGTTCACTGAGTTCCTGTCTCCAAATGGGCATTTGGGCTCCTCTTTCTCACCTCACGCTACACCATGTTACTCAGGTGCCTCCACCACTCAGGCAAAGCAGGTACCAGTTTCTGCATGGGAGATGCAGAGGGACACGAGGTGCATTAACACCAAAAATCCCTTTTCCTCCGGGGCAGCAAGAGGAAGGAAAACCTGGCTACCTGAAGGGGGTAGTGCTAGGGAGTAACTGGGAAGCTGCAAAAAAACCCCCAAAAAACCCATAACAAAACAAAACAAACAAAAAAACCCAACCCACAACCAAGAACCACTGTTCTAGATATATTAAATAATAGAAGTTAAATGACTTTTTTATTCCTCCTCTTTTT